TTTTTTTTGTTTTTTAGAAAACGATTTTTTAAAAAGAATTCCAAGCTGCCCAAATGAATTCCTATTCCTGAGTTTCCAAATCACCAAAAAAGTACCCAAAAGTCCTAATCCTAAGAATAACCACAAAGCAACACAAACGGCACTCTTAAAGTTTCCAAGTATCTCACTTGTGAAGCATATGCCAACAAGATTTTGTGGTTTGCCCCAAAACGTTTTCTTACATTTTGAGGGTAATAACCTTAAAGCCCCATATTTTTTTAAGAACTGAATTCTGATCCACTTAAGATATTTATAACAATGTGCCCCTTCCATATATGCAAACTTAGGGGGAAAAAATAAAAATTAAACTTGGTGGTTACCTATCAATAAGAAACGAACACGTATTATTTCACATTTATGCAAGAGGCCATCATTCCTGAGTCCAACTTCATGGCCTATGATTCAAGAGTTAAAGATGCAGATTAGGGCAATGACTCCTTGACCAGTACTACACTGAAGTTCAGAAAAACACAAAATTATTGTGTCATTCTGACTGAAACATTTACTGTAATGTTTTTGAGAGCATAAATATTATCAACATACTCTAACATGACACTTTTGCACTTCTAGCCTGATTCTGATTCCTCCTCAAATTCTTAAGTGACCACATTTGTACTATGATTGGATCTATTTTTCAACCTAACCCTGCAGAATAGTATTCCTTATTTAAAAATATATATATATATCTGTTGCATTCACGTTTAAATTTAGTTACCTCAACCTAAGATTAAGAGCAGCTGCACATAATTAACATTAACCCTATCCTCTCCTGTTGCTGCAAAATATGGGCATAAAACCCTACAAACAGCATTATCAGCTACTTACCCTTATCATACCCCACACAAACAGAATATAGTAACACTATCTAAATGGGCAGAAAGGGAAAGTTAAAATAACTGACAGCTCTATTAGCAGGCACTGAAGAACTTATCTAGAAGGAAAATAACCACTCAGTCTAATCAATGTCACATCCTTCAGGAGGCATATACAATTCGTACACAAAAAGGGTGCAAAATGCTCCTTTATCAGCATGTTCCAATTTATCACTATTAAGTGAAGGACAGACCCATCGTAAGGTTGAATGCCTGGCAACTCCGAGTATTCCCAGACACTGAATGTCAGGCTAAAGCAACAGAATGACAGGTCACAAAGACAACCCCCCCGCCCTGCAAAAATTCATTTACCTCTGGCTTTCAAACAAACTTAGCTGATGTTTCTCCAAATGAATTTCAAAATTCAGTTCAATAAGCCAACATTAACTTCATAGAGAACTCTAGAAGCATCCTCAACTGGCATAAAATGTTCAGACTAATTCACTGCACCAGGCGGGCAAGATAGGACACAGCATGAAAAGAAATTTCTCCCCTCCTAAAATTTAGGACCTTAGGCTTCAGAGTACCAATTCTGCCTGTAACCGGGCCTGAACAGTGAGGAGCAAAGCTTGTACCAAGAGCAGTTTCCCACAAAAGCCCAAGCTTCTCAGTATTACAGAGAGCTGGCTGTGGTGAGCTTATATCAGAAAGAGCTCCCCGAACCTCAAATAAACCAACCACAGGATAATCCACTCCAGGAAAACGATCTGCCTTCCTAAGTTCCCCCAATGCTGTCTTTTTCAGTTGAAATAGGCTTGGCTTGTTTGGAGGGGAGTGGTGCTTTATGGCACTTACAGATGGTGCCGAGTTCCAAGGCAAATGTCCTATTTTTATTGAGGTTCAGAGGCTTTTGCCTCTTGGGCTTGTGGGTTCCTCCTTACCTACCCACTCTGCCCTATCACTAATTGACTTAAATTGTAAAGGAAATCGCTCTGCCCTTGGCCCTGCCCAGGACACCCACAATGCCTCTCTGGAGGGTCTAGATAAGGGGAGCTGTTCTTCTGCAGTCTCAGGCCCCCCTTTCTCCCGTTCTGGCCAGCTCTTCCCAGCAGCCTCAGGTCTCCCGTCACAGCTTAGGAGTGCCCTGCGGGCAAGTTCTGCTGGCGCAGCAGCCTCAGCAGAACCAAACCCTCGGGTGCAGGGAGCCGGGTGGGGACCTGTCTGCACAGATCTCTCTTTCCACTCGGGGTTTAGGCACTGGAGACTGGATGCGGAAGAATCCTGGGGTGGAAGCAATCCCAGGCTGAGTCTCCTCTCATCCCTTCCGGGTTTTATCTGGGGGCCCTTGCCTATGCAACTAAGCCTGCCTGGCACAGCCGGGCTAGGAAGAGCGCCAGTCACTGACCATCTCCCAGTCCCTTGCTGGTGACCTTGGCCACGTTGCTTCGCCTCCCTCACCCTCTGGGGCCTGACACCACTTACTTTGCGGGTTATGACCGGGTCAGAAGGATGTGGAAAGAGCCCAGCAGACTGTACTGCACCCACGAAGGGTCCAAGATAGGGAGAGGACTTCCCTCTTCTTTTTCCTAGCGGTGTCAGGAGCTCGCTCAATCCTCTCCCCACCTCCAGGCCTGGGGAGTCAGCGCCCTGGCAAATGGGGCAAGGGGCTGCACATCTTAAGTCCCCTCTTCACCTGGGAGCGGGAAGGGGGGGATCCCCAAGGGGGTGTGGCTGCCCCAGCCCCTGACATCCTTTTCCTCCCCGCTCAGAAATGCAGACAATTCAACTGCGAGGCAGAGGCTGCGAGCGAGGGCATCGAGGCGTCCCGGCGAACGGGCCGGGGTCCCCGGTGGGGCGCGCCGGCCCCGACCTACCTCCTCCAGCAGCGTGACGGTGTTCCTGCAGTTGTGCAGCCGCGTGGTGAAGCTGGACGTGGTGGGCGAGTTGTAGTCCTCGGTGGTCTCGGTGATGAACTCGGAGACGGAGATCTGGTCCGGCATCCTGCCGGGGGGGCGAGACACAAGCGGGGGCGGGGAGTGAGTCACGGCGCAGGCTCCCGGGGCCGCGGGTCGCCCGGTGGCTCATGAACGCCCCGCGCAGCCTGCCACCCGGCGCCCGGGCTGGCGCGGCTCCCGTCCCCGGCGGCGGCGGGAGAGAGAGCGGGCGGAGCGGGCGGCGGCAGCAGCGCTCGGCGCGGGGCCCTTCAAACTCCGAGCCGCGCGCGGGGCAGAGGGCTCTCGGGGACCCGCCTCCCTGTGCTCATGCCGGCGGCAGGGGAGGGGGCTCGGCGCTATGCGGGGGCTCGGGTCGGCCGGCACTGCCTCCTGAGAACGCTCTGACAGGCGGCGGCGAGGACACCGACAGACTGAGCGCACACTCCCGCGGGCGAGCAGGCTGGCGGCGGGCAGGCGGCGCTCCCGCTACAGTCACGGGGACAAACAAGGAAGTGCTC